AAGAGATGGACACTCTCGAGGCCGATGGTAGGGATGTTGACAAGGAATACTTCTCCTCCCGCGTTGCCGATATCGAGAAGGAAGCTCGCGGCCAAGAGAAGGAGGCCTTGGCTACGTATGGCATGCTAGAGGGTACTGATGCTCGTGTGGCTCCTATGCGCCGTGCGCTCGCCGTGTGGGGCTTGACAGCAGATGACATTGGTGTCCTCTCGATTCATGGAACGAGTACCGGTGCGAATGAGAAGAATGAGACGCAGATCTGGCACAACGTCTTCGAGTCCATGTCACGCACCCACGGCAATGCTGTTCCTGTCATTGCTCAGAAGAGCTTGCTTGGACACTCGAAGGTGGTTCAGCGGCGTGGCAGATGGCTGGTTTGTTGCAGACTGTCATCACTGGTATTATCCCAGGTAACCGCAACAGCGAGTAAGTATTCTGTCTTCGGATTGGCTTCTCCTGCTCATGACATCCTTTAGCAATATCGATGCCCGATTCGAAGCTCATCACTTCCTCATGTTCCCATCGAGGTCTATTCATACTGATGGTATCCGCGCTGGTGTCATGGTGAGTTCAAATGATCCGTCTTCATCACGGGCTAATACCCTGGCTACTAGTCATCCTTCGGTTTCGGTCAAGTCGGGGGCACTGCAGTTGTTATTCATCCCCGTTATCTCTTCGGTGCTCTTGAAACCTCCGATTATGAGTCGTACAAGATACGCAATCAGTCCCGTGCGCAAGAGGCATATAAGGTTATGACCGAGATGATGACCTCCAACACCCTTGTCAAGATCAAGGAAGGCCCGCCGTACAGTCCCGAGTTGGAGCAGGCGGTTCTCATGAACCCCATGGCTCGTGCTACCTTCAACCCGAAGACCCGCAGCTACTCGTATACCACCAGCCTTGATAAGAGCATTCCGTTTGATACTGCCAACGCCAGGGTTGTTGCAGATGCTCTTGCGTCAAAGGGAGCTGTAGCAGGAGTCGGTGTCGATCAAGAGCTGATCTCCTCCGTGCCGTCCTCTAACCCTTGTTTCGTCGAACGCAACTTCACTGAGGCTGAGATTGCCTACTGCCGCGCCCAACCGTCACCTCCGTCCTCCTTCGCAGCTCGATGGGTAGGAAAGGAAGCAGTGTTCAAGTCGCTCGGTGTGCCGTCCAAGGGCGCTGCCGCTGCAATGAAGGACATTGAGATCCTCCCTAACGAGTCTGGCGTTCCGACTGTAACTCTTCACGGCAACGCAAAAGCTGCTGCACAGGGCAAAGGGATCACTAATGTGTTGGTATCCTTGAGTCATTCTGAGGTATGTGTCGTGAACCTACATCACCAAATCATGACTGACATGTGCATTCATCAGACCGTTGCTATCGCTTTCGCTCAAGCTTCATCATAGAGAATCGTTCACCTTGGACAATCATGACTGGCATGTTTTTGATAATTCAATACTTTACGCATGAATGAAATTGATATCCGTTGTTGTAACATAGAGTAGACTGGAATATAATAGATTTCTTCGCTTTCACTTGCGTGCAAATGCGCGGGTAGTAGCAGCATCAAGAAACGTACAAGCTGTTCTGAGTAATATAGTTGGCGATAGATGGGGTAACAAGTTTCTTCCACGTCTCGTCCTTGAGTGCAACCTTTGTTCTCACTTGGCTTGAACTAGTTTGCTCGTCAACGCCGTCAGCACCTATGCTGATCAAAGCAACTCGCTCGCTCTCTACAAATTCCTTTGCCGCGGATAAAGTCTTCGCTTCTACATCCTCTTGTATTGTATGTTCCACTTCTGCCAATTTTCGCCTAGCACACACCACATAGCAATCATCTCCCGCAGGCGAGAAAAACAAACGAAGAGAATGCATCATCGCAGCTTCAGATGCATAATATCTCGGAGACAGCAGGCGGACGAGAGTATCAAAGCCTAGCAGGAATACTAGGCGTAGACCTGGTATTGATATTCCGTCAGAAGTGGGTGATATTGCCATTCCGTCCAGAGCAGTTGCCGGGGTATACAAGCCCGAAATCCGCGCATGCAGGAACTGCCGAAGAACTACGGCTTTTCCGACAAAAGTTGGTTCATCAACGATGGCTATTGCGACGTTGGCATGCGCAGACTCAGATTTATCCTCGGGGCGCTGCGAGACAGATGTTGGTATGTCCTTTGAGAAGAGGTACATCATCTCCAGACGCTGCTCATATGTCGCATCACCGGATTTCAGTGCTTTGTCGGCGTTCCGAACGGATAGCAGTAGCAGTTTTGCATCATAATCAAGCTCAGCTACTGATGCCAAAGTCGAGTCTGTGAGGCCGGAGTTCATGGTGTACCGTGGAGGTGAAGAGTTTGCCAGAGTAAGATGGGCGCATGTCGGTGGATTGAAGGAAGAGTCTAAGACAGATATACGAATGGTGTCAAATTTACGTTGCGGGTGAATTGGCAATCGAGGGCAAGGCCAACGTTCATGGGACGTGTACACGAGTTCCATGGGAGACTCGTGCCTCTGTACTTTCTGGAGGAGTTTGAGTGCGTGACCGGGAGGCCACAATGGTCTTGCGTTCATAGTTTATTTCTGCCGCAGCTCCAGTCCAGCATCGGACTGATGTAGATCTGGCCCTGCATTATTTCACAATCGACAAGTATTCCATGATATAGACCCACCAAGAAGAAATAGTGACTTGAGATAAGATGGACTTATGTAATGTTAGATCTGACTCTGTTCAAGATTACCTTAATCGGTCGACCTGTCACGGTCATCAAACAAACCTTCAGTCGCATCTTTCGCTCCAACCATCACTCATGGAGAAGGACGCAGACGGTTTTTATACCCCGAAACTAGAAGGTTTGTGACATATTACTTCCAGGTACCATAAACCTGACACTTTGCAGAATCTGCGCCTCTTGCACAGGATGAAAGCAAGGACACGAAGGAGGTGGAGCAGCAGCCTGAGCCTGTTCCATCTTCAAGTTGTGCGTGCAGGTCGCGTCGTTGTCTCGCAGCGAAACTAATTATATGCTATTAGCTAGAACCGACTTGATTGCATCGACGTTTGAGGTCTCGGTGCGTTTAGGAGCTGCAATACTAAATTGTTGAGTGACTCACTACATTTTCAGGTCACACTTGCAGACCAGCAGGCCGACCCGAATTCCCCTTTATTCAGCGCCAAGACATTCGAGGAGCTCGGACTGTGCGTCATCATATCCTAGTATCTTATGCATATTTAACGATTGATCGTAGCCATCAAGATTTATTGAAGGGTCTCTATGATCTTGGTTTCTCGAAGCCGTCGAAGATCCAAGAGCGTGCTCTGCCGCTACTACTCGCAAATCCGTGGGTGCACCAGCTCGTGTAACATGGAACTATGGTACTGATCACTGCCTCAAGTCCTCAAAACATGATCGGACAATCGCAATCTGGCACAGGCAAGACTGCCGCATTTGTGCTTACCATGCTGAGTCGTGTAGATTTTTCCAAGAACAAGACACAGGTCAGTTCTATGCGTTACCTTTCCGGCTCTCCGTTAAGACTGGCTGCAGGCACTGTGTCTAGCTCCTTCGCGAGAACTTGCACGTCAGATCATGTCTGTTGTCGTTGCTATGGGCAAATTCACTCCAGTTCAGACGGAGTACGCAATAAAGGATAACCTTCCCAAAAGCGCATCACGGATAACTGCACACGTTGTCGTCGGGACTCCGGGAACAATGACAGATCTTTTAAGAAGAAAAGTCATCGATACATCTGAGGTCAAGGTGTTCGTTCTCGATGAAGCGGATAACATGCTTGATCAGGATGGACTTGGTGACCAGACACTGCGGGTAAAGAAGTGAGTACGGTCTTCTCTCGTTTGGGCTGCAATTCACAAAAAAAATCGATATAAGCCTCATTCCTCGAACAGGCGTTCAAATTATTCTGTTTTCGGCAACATTCCCCAATCACGTCCGCAATTTCGCTAGTAAATTTGCTCCCAATGCGAACAAGATCGAGCTTCAGAGGGAGGAACTCTCTGTGGAGGGCATCCGGCAATTTTACATGGATTGCAGAAATGAAGATCACAAATACGATATCCTCGTGTCCCTGTACCAGCTTTTGACGATCGGTCAGAGTATCATCTTCTGCCAGGTTAGCAAGACGGCACGCGCCTGCTCGTACCATACTAACCATACCTCTGCTCTTCCTAGCATCGCCACACAGCAGATAGAATATCGCAACGCATGTCAGCTGAGGGTCACAAAGTGGCATCACTGCATGGTGCCAAGGACGCTGCGGAGCGTGACGCTATTATTGACAACTTCCGTGAAGGACGGGACAAAGTCCTTATCACGACGAATGTCATCGCACGTGGCATCGACATCATGCAGGTCAACATGGTAGTGAATTACGACTTGCCGTTGATGAATGAGCGGGGAAATCAACACTCCAATGACGCAAGACCCGACGTTGAGACGTACATTCACCGTATTGGTAGGATGTTTCAAAGATCAGTTCCGTGCTTTACTAACAACCCTGTTTCTTAAGGCCGCACTGGTCGCTTCGGACGCAAGGGTATCTCAATAAACTTCGTCCATGACCGCCGAACCTGGTCACAAATGGAGGAGATTGAAAAGACACTGAACAGGAAGATTATCCGAATAGAGACCGACGATCTGGAGGAGATGGAAGATGTGCGTGCATCATCTTTGATTCACCTACGAAATCTGATTTCATTTCTCTTTAGAAAATGAAGAAGGCGTTGAAGTAATCTGTGCTTTTGTACCTGGATATGGACTCTGTTGTATTCTCTTTCTGATCATGTTGTGTCGCCTTGCGACCATGTGCTTGTGGCAGGATGGAAGTTTCAATTGCGTCCAATCATGTACTGTAATTTCTGGATGTGGACCGGGGTGAGGAAATAGTAGAAAGTGGATGCATGTACATAGCATTTCGGCGCAAATGGTGTGTATCTACCACGAGGCCCAGTAGCATGCTTTATGTAACTATAGCAAAGCATTGGAATGACTGGATGTTAGTGTTTCTTTAGAGTACCAGCGAGTCGATCTCGATATGGGATCGAGTGGGCAGCCGGAGGAGACGGACATGTCATTGGTACATTGAAGCTATGAATCACTGCCAGACACAACAAGCGAGATGGTATTGCGGTATAGAAGTTCAAGACCAGGAATAGGGACCTCTTTTGATTGTCTGCAAAATGTTGTGAGCGGCAACTCAGAAGAATCGGAGCAGACTTACAGCTCGCGCACTGCAATAAGAGAGTCGTTAAGAACAGTGAACATGTGATTAGTTTATGCTCACCTCGAATTACAAAATTGGCCAAGACTGCAAAGAACAGAAGTGCACTGATAAAGACAGGTCCAACGATGTGGTCTAAGAATTGACAGTGAGCTTGGATCGACTATGAAGTCATCAGATTAACCATAATGCCCAGGGTCGCGTTTGCGAATCATCGTGATCCTATTCTGATAAATTACAAAACCGTAGACCTGAATTTCGCAATATGAGCATCAGTTTATTGCAAATAGCAGACTTGTGGGTGTTCACCAAAACACCAATGCTTATCGAGGCATAAGCATATGCGAATCTTCGGGCTACCACGTCTTTGGATGCATTGAATAGGGCAAGCGCCAAGGTTCCCAATAGCACAGCAAGATTTAGCCAGGATATCCATGCTTTAACTTGCGTTAGCAAATGACAGGAGAGAGGAAGAGGATAAATGCTAACTCCGTTCATTGGCGAACCATACCTTTCCCTCGATCTTCAGAGACGTCTTCACCTTCTTCGGAACACGTATCTGGGGCGGAACAGAATTTATGGCATTGTAATCTCTGATGGTAGGTCTTTGTCCATCAATGTCGTGATCCACGTCTGGAATATCATCTTCTCTCGTATAACGCACGGGCCTTTGGGTGTTTTCGGGGAGAGACGCTAGCGCAGAAGAAGAGAACGGAAAAATTGCGGTCCATGATCGCCTGAACAGGCCGACGTGCGCGTTATTATCTTCGTCTTCGGGCTGTTTACTAGAGGCCATGGTTTACACTGGTTTACTTACACAAAACAGTTACTTGAAAGTTTCCAAAGCAGGTTGATTACTAATAATCCTGTCATGGGCCAGCCCGCACTACTCGCTTGGAATATGGGGCTTTATCGAGATGGTTCTAACATATCTGTTTTTCCTGGAGACAAGTCATCCGCATTCGGGACTCTTGAGATGACGTCAGGATTCAACTTCCTATAGGTTTACTGCTGAGGAAACCCAAAAGTACGATAGTTACATGCTGTTAGTGGATGAACTTCACTCTTGAAATGCTTTGAGGTCTGCCTCAGCCTTGACAAACTCATCGCACTCCATTTGACTCTTCTTGACATCTACCAGATACAAGAACATGGTGCTGACAGTTCCACTGTATGTTTCACCCCGTCAGCAATTGGAGGGCGCAAATAATGGCCGAGACGACGCACAGTCCGAACAAAAATGCGAACGGCATGTTATTATTATTGTCGGACACGGTAATGATAGCAGACGACACGAGCGGACCAATGAAAGCAGAGGTCTTGCCGACCTTTAAACATGCGTGAGTTAATAGCTAATGCAGAATGGCCTTGATTGCCTACCACAGAGAAAAGTGCGAAAAATAAGAACCTGAAAGACTGTAAGTACTAGGTTGGAGCGCCCGGGGTAGTGGGTTACGTGCATTTGAGAAGGAGGAGACACTTCGCTAATCATTGTTTGGCTGTATGCATACCAAGGGCATACCATGAGTCCGTAGAAAACCTGATACAACCTAAATTCATATATGTTAGGCAGGGGAATGCGCAGAACATCAAAGACAAACCATATTTCCCATGTATGTTTAAATCCGAATTTGTCGGTGTGAATGCCGATGAGACCCCAAACAGTCAAGACCTACACACCCATTATTCGAAGTGCGCCAAGAGCAACAAGCAAACTTATACCAAAATCCAAATGACATTGAAACTCAACATCTACCAACATTCAGAAGAGTAAGATTGTGGTAAAAATTCAGAGCATGAGTCGCACCGCTTTTGTGGATATCTTGAATTTCTTCTGCACCAGCCAGAAGGAGCTATAGACGAGTGTCAATAGCACTAAATAGAGGCGATGTAAAACCTACTATGTTCCAATTGCTTGCGCAACAATACCAACAATCAACAGGAGTGTCAGCTGCAAGGTTGAGTACGACACTATGCTGAGAACTATGCTCTATTCAATATGTAGAATGCTGTTCCAACAAACAAACCTATTCTGCAGCGTTGCAACGACGGTGCTAATGTCTAGTCAGCCTATGAAAGGATCGGGCATTATGGACATGCTCACACAGTAGTGTTCAAGACGTCTCCCCTGATAGTGCCGTTAGAATGATCTCTGGGTGTAGAGCAATCCACGTACATGAGGAAATAGAATATGAGATACAGGAACGTCTGCTTTAACCTTACGCATTCCCGCAGGGCAATATATGTTTGTCTAAATCCGATCGTAAACAACGAACTGCTTGGAGGAAGAGCTAGTCCAGGGCGTCGCTTCTCGAGGAAGAACCATGGTAGTGCACAAAGTACTATCATACATCTACATGAGCCTCACAACACGCGCCCATGAATTAACTCACACCATAATGCGCCGGAGAATGCAATCAAGACACTGAATGCTTTCGTGTTGTTTGCAGTACTGGAGCCTGCTTTCAGCCCTTCGAGGATTCCCACCATAACGACGAGAATCAGGATTTCACCAAGGGAGGAGACGGTGAAGGAGATGTTCGAGACTCGATTGCGAGATAGAGATTCGAATTCTGCATGTTCGTCCCAGCTAAATCCGTACATTAAACCTGACATTTCACAGAGAGATGACGCGGAACATATACCTTTTCTCTCCATCAGCAACAAGCTGAGCAGAAATTTCAACTTCCGGAAGGTGGCGTGCAAGCCCGGGAAATGCAGCTGTCCAGAATGTGAGGGCACCCTACGTTGTCATTGAGTCTCCCTAATGCCTCATAGACATGTGATAGCATGGACCTACCTGGTATGTTATCACTGGCAAAAGTACGAGTAAGTTCGCTACGTCTTTCTGACTCTGCGACACTTACAGCCCAGGATATAGAGAGCTACGCCAGCCTGCCATTCGGATGGATCTTCTACTCCAAGCCAGGCAAATGACACTGCGACCGCAACAAGCGTGAATACGACCGTTATGTTCGGTCTACAAACACTTCAACAACACCGATACACGCGTCATTCAATGGTATGATTCCACACCTCCACGTGCCATAGTCTGCCCAGGCCCCGATCAGAAGTAGAAGTACCGCCTGGATGGCAAAGCTAATGCCGTTGGTCAAGAGCACGATTGAATTGACTATGTAGATAGGTCACCCATGAAGGTTGTCGAGACGCTTTTAGTTGAGGAGTTTACTAACTGTTCCTGATCTTGCCGAGATAAGGCAATACGCAATCTGTGTTGCTACCACAAGGAGCGGAAGATGGGAGCTGGCTTGGATCGTAGCCTGCCAGGAAGAGCAAGTTTTGAAATTGAGACGGTCCAAAGTTAAAACCCGAAAGCCCATTATTCCCCTAACGAGAAATGAGCTAGTCCCACTCGGTAGTCCTGTCCGGCGTTCGCAAGACTTGCAATATTAGTTCACTTACAACATAGTAGAGATAAAACGACCAGAGCTCGACACGCGAGGTGGTCGAGGAGGCGGGTACGTTGAGCTCGCTGGCGAGCTTCTGGCTTGACGCCATGTTGATAACGACAACTGGAAACTGGCAGATGTGCACTACAGAGCCACACGCGTCGGACAAGTCACAAGCAGGAAGGTCGTATTAAGTAATTTTGGATGAGTCGGTATATGTAGCAACTCGAGCACTAACGAAAAGGGCGTTCTTTGAGCAAATAATCAATATTAATGCCGAATCGGTATGCACCATGTGGTTTAAATTTTAACTGTTGACTGCAACAGAAACTTTGATGAAAGTCGTGGAATGCAGTTAGTTCAACTCGGGGATCACGTGACACTGCCCAGCTCACCCGCCGGCGGGCCGCTCGATGTGCGAAATGGCTTATCGATCGTCATCTGGCATATGCCCGGCGCCCGGTAGTTATGAAAGGAATTTCTATTTGTACACTACACACATGATACTGACTAACCGATTGAATTTTGATAAACAGGTGATACGCCGCCAGCAGGAGAACCCTTCCGAGTCAGCGTCACGCGATGAGCGAGGGCATCATTGATGCACTGATGGCGACCTACTTGGCGTGGGAGGTCTGAATGCCAGTGGAGTCGATAACCAATGGCGAGAGAGACAGGTGGAAAAAAAGTGCCTGCAAGTCTCAGAATGAGGAAGTGGTATCACTATGTCACACATCATTAGTCGGGCCAAAAAAAAACAAATCTTGACCATGTAGAACCTGAAGCCGTATTGTACACCGCCAAGAAGGCTCGCAGCGCCTTGTCCCTGAAGAGAATGAAATAAAGTATTTAAAAGTGGCGATAGAGATGAAGAAAATGCTCCGAAGACAGCGAGACCGAAGGAATAAGGAAGGGATTGGGGTGCAGTTGGTTGCTGTAGGTATGTTGGAGAGCTGGGTGGGTGCATACGGTGTACTTGGTACCAGAGTGTGTTGTGAGGCGCGAGCTCGAAGTACAGTGAGCAGCCGTGGGAAATAATGAGCTATGTCCGGGTGCACGTGATCCCAGGCTGTGAAAATCGGAAAGGGGCCAGCAGCCGACATCTTGATCTTCTCCATGACATATCTACCATGCACGCGGCCTTGGGAAACCTCGAAGTAATCTACACGATCTGTTCACACACCAAACTTGGGTCACTTCCTGCACTCGCATCCACATGCCGCGCGTTTGAACGTCCGGCACTTAATATTCTTTGGAGGGATTTGCAGTCCCCAGAGCCTCTTATCAAATGTTTACCAAGTGACCTGTTTAGCACTGATCGAGGACGTATGGTGTGTGCCTATACTTCGTATTATTTGTGGGCTTCAAACTGAGTTTACTTTCCTAGGTATCACAAAAACCTCCTGACAGCATGATGTGGGATACTCTTTGCAAATACACATCCCGCGTACAGTCAATCACTGCAACACAATCGTGCCGCTTGGCGGCCATCATCGAGCCTCTCAGTTTTTTAATGCTGTCCTGTCCTTCGGCACCTGCATCTTTGTTTCCGAACCTCCGCAAATTAATATGGTTTGCCGATGGAACCCACAGCGCTGCAGAGTTTTTGCGCATGGCTTTGGTACCCTCTTTATTGGTCTTGGACGTGCGAATTTCTTCAGTCTCTTCCGCCTTTCTCTCGGTTCTTTCGTCTGTTGGGGCATTGTGCCCTCATCTCCAGGACATGGCTCTCAGAATTCAGCCTGTAACCGGCGAGTCATTTCGTAAAATCTCACCCTTCGTCACACAACCTATTTCTCGGCTCCACCATCTTCACTCGTTATTGGTATGGGATTTAGGAAATCAGGGCATCGAGCACGTCATGCAGCTACGAGCTCTGCGGTCACTATACTTGGACTTAAGGACATATTCGGCTTGGGAGAGAAAGTCGCGTTTAGAATTTCCCGGCTTTCATGATTTAAAAATTTTGGGCCTTTCTACCGATACGTTCAAGCGCGCCTCGAACTTCTTGAGCTCACTTCGGGTCATGGAAAGTAAAGAGATCAAAGTTGACTTCAATCAAGTTGCTCATCCCTCCACAAGTGGATCTACGACGCTATCCCAGTTCTTCACCATCCTGCAAGAGAGATGCGACACCGACAAACTTGAAGGTTTCACTCTTTTTGGAATTTCTGGAAAGGTGCGCGCAGAACCAGGTGTCTTTATGCCATTGCAGGCATGCCGCAATCTAACTCGGCTGTCCGTCGAGAGGGGCTGTAACATTTCCATATCTGACGAGGAACTCTGCCAGCTGGTGAGAGATTGGCCAAAGCTCGAGGTCCTCAAAATCAGCTGCTATAATCCCGTCGATAACACCACAATGCCCACATTACATGGGTTAATCGAATTACTTCAGCTCTGCCCCATTCTGACTTCGCTCGCTCTTGTCATTGATGCTACCAAGTTGGACGGGATAGACCTCAAAAGTCCTGGCGGTGGAAGCTGCAACAAGCATCTCAAGCACCTCGTCCTCGGAAATTCACCGGTCGGGACCCCACTAAAGGTGGCTCTCATCCTTAGCGGAATCTTTCCCAACTTGGAGCAGGTCAATCTTGATTGTCCGGATACAGAGCAGATAAAGAGGTCAACTATGGAACGGCGGGCGTTACCCAACAGTTTCCTTGATGGCTTTAGCATTGTAAGGGAGCGGTGCACTGAAGCATGATGTTGTTGTCTGACCGTAACATTCCGGGTTATATTTGAATGATTACCTGCACTTTTAATTATGCCGACTGTTTACTTGTGTCGTTTTCAAGACACATCGTATGAGTAGTCCTCGTTCTGAGTTGGGTGCGTCGACGGCGAAGAGCTAACTTGAATATGCCGTTGTGTTTCTGCCTGTTGTTGGGTCCATGGACCTTCCCACGCGTGCTCTATAACTCTTAAGTCGGAGCTGACGTCACTGACTCCAGACAGTTCTGGGAGGTTCTGGGAGGTTCTGGGGAAATCGAAAGAGAGATCTCTGCGTCTTGAACTTTCCTGAATTCGAGACTTTCACAACTGCAGCACTATATAATAGTGTTGGCTTCCGAGTCATCTAGTACAACCACGAAATACATCACCATATGGGTGCCGACTACTACAAGGTCCTGGGTGTTCCTCGGGACGCTGGCGAAGATGAAATTAAGAAGGCATACAAGAAAATGGTATGTGGTGCTTTCATGTTCGCAGCCTGTTCAAGCTAACACCTCAGTCCACAGGCTCTGAAATGGCATCCAGACCGCAATGGAGGGTCTGAAGAAGCCTCGAAGAAGTTTAAGGAGGTAAGTAGAACATCTCGCTGTACGTTCCTGGCTGACGAGATTACTAGATTTCAGAAGCATTTGAAGTCCTCAGTGACAAGAACAAACGAACCATATACGACCAAGTTGGTGAAGAAGGCCTCAAAGGCGGAGGATCTGCGCCTGGCGCTGGTTTCCCTGGATTTTCTAGCAGTTCAGGCTTCCCAGGGGGGTCCACATTTTCATTCACGTCTGGTCCTGGTGGCGCGCCGACAGGTGGATATGCACCAACTGACCCGCAAAAAATATTCGAGTAAGTAACATGCATGGTACAGCATTTGGTAACTAAACGCTCTTCAGACACATATTCAGCCAATTTGGCGGTTTCGGGGGTGGCTCTGGAGGTATGGGTGGTATGGGCGGTTCTTCAAGCTTTGGTGGCATGGGCGGTACTCCACAGTTTGGTGGCATGGGCGGTTCTCCAAGCTTTGGTGGTATGGGCGGTTCCCCAAACTTTGGTGGCATGGGCGGTTCGTCAGGTTTCGGTGGCATGGGCAGAAGTCCAAACGTTTTTGATGATGACGATATAGGTGGTGGTGGTGGGTCTTTCTTTGGGATGCCGGGGGGCATGCCATCGGGGCGACAATCTCCTAGACATCAATCATCTACTTCAACTTCAACGTCAGCCCCTTCAGAAACCACTCGCCCACTAAAGCTATCACTTGAAGAACTATATTCGGGTACAACCAAACACCTGAAGGTCAGCAGACGGCTATTGAACGGCTCTACGGAAGAGAAGGTGCTTGAAATTCAAGTTCTCCCGGGCTGGAAGAGCGGCACAAAGATACGTTTCCCTCGAGCCGGCAATGAGCAGCCGAACGGCGAGGCTCAAGATCTAGTATTCGTCATGGAGGAGAAGCCACACGAGGTTTTCACACGGGAAGGGGATGATCTGATTTGCCGCCTCAGGATACCTTTGGTGGATGCACTCACAGGCGTAGACGGAAAGAAGACTGTCACGGTTCTGGACGGCCGGAAATTGCAGATCCCATTGCCTGGTGGCGTAGTGAAGCCTAATCAGGAGACAAGAATTCCCAACGAAGGGATGCCGATTAGGAAGCAGGGCAGCATGAAGAAGAAAGGGGACCTCGTAGTGCGATGGGATGTCATATTCCCAGACCGTCTTACGCCCACACAGAAAGAGGGGCTGAAGAAGTTGTTGGGGTAATCATGTATTAGGACATTATCTACCTCCAGTCTACTCCGCTCGTTAGATTAGCATATTAACTGTACTTTTTAATTTATTTCATGATGGGATATGGTTGCTGTCACGCGGCCATACGATAAGCGCGTCTAGATAGTGACATTCAAGAGTGTTCAGGAGCAGACCACGAATCAGGAGACTAAATAACTTACACCAATGGAGGTACCTGGCATGCGACGACAACATCATGGAGCGTGATGATCATCGAATTGCAGTGTCGGAAGCCGGTGACACTCCAGAGTCCAGTCCGCGGTCGATAGGATGAAGTGGATGGCTCGGATCATAGAGATCAGGTACAAACATAGAACAAGCATGGTTGACGGGCAAATAACAATATCAATATCGACTCGATCAATGTGTCCGCGAATACTGAGGGTGATTCTCCCGCGAATGAATATATAGACTAGGAGCACTTTGACTGTGCACAGAAGGGTCATGAAGCCCATGCGTAGTAGAAATCTAGACACCGATGAGAATGCATATTTGATAGGCTGACCGAGATTATTATGGGCGAGACTGGCAAGTCACCTGGGGCGCGAGTCGCAAGGAAATGAAAGAAACGCCAGACGTGTGTAGTGCCTACGAGTGTTCCGGATCCTGTGATTCACAAGTAAACCTCGGAGAAGGTACATTGTCAAGGTTTAATATCCTTTTCACCAACACACTCCACCAAAGTGTGTAGGTGATAAGTAGCGGACCATCCTTGCAGCGATTCGAAACACCACAAGAAATCTAACACGCCCAGGATTAGTGAGGGTGAAGCTATGAATATAAGAGACACGAGGCAGCGCTATCGATTAGACTGCGAGCAACTCGGAGCATTCATGGATGACCGACGGGGTATACTTAATTCATAAAGGTATTAGACTTGCGGCCTCGGTGTGGGGTAAAATTACTGAGGTCAGTAGTTTGAAACTAGAGATGCTGAGCGCTGAAGAGTGAAAGGTCCTCGGAGGAGATAGTTTGAAGAGGAGAAGCCTAACTGCCAGAGAACTTGGCTGGACTCAGGATGTTAACTTGAAGTTTATGGGGAACCGAACCAAACTTTGACATGGCTCGGTTCGAGTCCCTCTGGGAAATGTGAGTCAGCTGATTGATGCAATCGATAGACAAGACCGTGGAGTAATGATGCACTGATGACGGTTTAGCTAGTCTGTCGCCACTGACCAATGATTTTTTCTAGTGATCGATTGTCTATTCGGCCTCAAGTGGGCGAGATCCTGATCAAGGCACAATGCACAGTACTAACACCGTGAGGAACCTACCGAAAAAGGAACAAGTGAAGTAAGTAGGACTGCCGCTAGCTATAGTAGCCGTTAGTGTCCCCGCGACTTCTGACTACTGTCTAGTGCCGCTAGCGAAGGAATACGATAAGCCAACAGCCGGACGCAGAATACAACCTGTCACGGTAGTGCAGTCCAATTATCTTGGTGCGCAGCAGCGCTAGCGTCCGGCACGAATTGATCATGCTTCGGGCGAGTAATTACTCATAATAACACGCGGAATTTCCGTGCTGAACATGAGGCAGAGTTGTTTTCAGTATGTGACCTGCAGGCAATCTGGGTTTCATGATCGCTTTAGAAGCTATCTATCGGAAAGTACGTTTGATCGGTTTTTGACGAGCCTTCTCTCTCACATATAAACGCTACCTACGTTGCAGAAGAAATGACAAACCAATCCTTCCCCCACTCCTAGAGCCCTCCCTGCTTACCTCCCTGTGCGACTTGCGAGCCTTGTAAACCCACTCTCATTGCTCTCCGACGATGCCCGTAGCTTCTCGCCGACCAGAATATTATAATGCGCTTGGTCTCGTCGTTGATGCCACAGACGAAGATATCAGAACTGCATACAAGAAGCTGGTATATTTTCATATTCCATTGCGTATAAACACTGCTCACCCTCTTAATAGGCCCTTCAATGGCACCCTGACCGTCATCAGATCGGGAAAGAACACGCAGCGCAAATGTTTGTTGAAGTAAGCGGCGTGGTCGTCGTACCTCCAGTCTAGCATTCAACATCATCATTGCCAGGTCAATACTGCCTACCACTCCTTGATGAATGGCACAGAAAGCATGGATCCTTCCTGTGGAGACAGCGTCTCACCATTATTTACACCCACTGAGAGTGGTACAGCCCAAAGCTGTTCCGCGGAGCCACGACCACGAGCCAATGCACAGTCGCCCCGTCATACAAAGTCGTCAGGCTCACAGAAGAGTGAGCAGACACCCAATCCGTTCTTCTCCACTTCCGTTCCTGGCTCTGACGCCGAAAAGAATTATCAGCCTTGTTCGCCAGACGACAAAACTACTCATTATGCCTCACATGACCATCACTCCAATCTAAAGCACCACTCTCATAAGCCTTGTAGCACAGGCAGCAATGGCTCTCGTTCCCGCTCTCGAACGAAATCATTCGATAGCTTATATGATTTACCACGACCATTTGCACCTAATCAAGCGCCGTCCTCTGTCACGAGCGCTAGCCGCTCTCACAGTAGTCGCACGACCATTCCCCACTCAAAGTCACATGACAATTTGCGTGATCTTTCACACAATTCTCACGAGCCACGATCAGGACAAGCGCCTGCCCCGGTCTCACGCGACCCGAAGTCGAACCGGTCTAAAAACAACCAAAGGGCTGGATCTACCTCTATATATTCCAAAGGTCGCACACACGGTTCGATCGATGCGAAACTGTTGCGAAGTCAAACAGGCAATTTCTCACAGCCCGTGATTCCACCGACGTCATCCAAGCTACATAAACCACCTCGGCGCGGACTGGGAGAGTAAGTAATATGTCTTCAACACTGTCACAATTAATTTACTGTTCCACAGGGAGCTGCTCCAAAAGCTTTCCAGGGGGTCATCGAAGTGCAAAAAAGAAGAGGGTTCAACACACTTAGCCAACGCTCCCACGTATGGTTCCCCGTTACGAGCTCTTGGTACGCCTCGAGGCACATCCAAGGAGTGGCTGTTTCCTCTTCCGTTGACACTTGATGAGATGTATTATGGGACGGCTTTCCAATTTCTCATTACACGGGAGCTATTATCCCGCAAGACAGAACAAGTCGAGATCTATGTCAGTGTACCTCCGGGTATTCGAAGCGGAACTAGGATTGTCTGTCCTCGCACAGGTCACCAGCGCAAGGACGGGACTCTTCAGGACGTAGTCTTCTTGGTTGAAGAGGTGCCTCATGGTGGTTTCACTAGGGTGAAAGACGACCTGTTCGTGGACATTTGCGTGCCATGGGTGGAGACCCTCGCCGAGCAAGGGGCCGATATTTGTATAGATGGCATGGATGGGGAAGAGATTATATTCGCACTGCCCTATCCAATCTACGACAAGTCTACGGAAGGGCAATTACTGGTTAAAGGAGCGGGTATGCCGATTCGCGAAGGACGAAAGACAGTGGGACGCGGTGATTTGATTGTCCGGTAAGATCGCAGCTATGAATATCATGCCGTTGTCGCTGACAGTTCTTAGATGGCAGGTGGTGTTCTCGCACCCTAGCAGATGGGAGAACCTTAAGAAAGCTCTGCGTATCAAGGCATAATCAATTGAGAAGGACATTATGACTGCGATGAACGTCTTATGGGAATAAGTATGTATACTTATGTCATCGCATTGAACGTGTGACGGCGTTGGCATCAGTGTGGGAGGCGAGGCGTCGGAATACGCAACTAACATCAATGTACAGTATTCATCAAGTATGCCATGGACATTATCATTACGGAATAAAACACTCGTTGTATCACTTCAACTCATGCACAGGAAGTGCGGTACCACCAGCCTCTGGGCACATGCTAACAGTAGAATCGAGAGGTTAGCTTATAATTAGACTGCATACGTAAGAACAACTTGTCACAGATGATAATCAAATGCTGCAACGTGACCTACTCTACCTCGAGGTAGATATCTTACCGCCTTTAATCTCGCAGCACCCCGCAATAACCGCTCTCGACTTCATCAATTTGAACAATAGGGTCATTAACACTCGAAATGTCATCTAAGGACCACAGCGAAGTCCCACATTGACGTGACGTACCATACTTCTTGTGAAGGGCTCTTGCGGTTTCACCGTTTCGTTTGGGATTGCGGCCACTACTGCTTGTCATGATATAACATCGTCAGATGCCAAGAGAAATTTAGGACTCCTGTCAACTCGCTCGATAGTTGGGTGGGGGTAGAACGCATGGATGGAAAAACCACAGGATCAAATACGCGTTCAGAGAAACCTTCAGAGCGAGATTAAAAGGCAGCGCTTACCAAAAACACGTCGTCGCCAGGTTTTTCTCATTTGTTACGTATATAAGCGCCACACCAATGCCACACCAGCTAGAACATCATATCTTCAAATCTCTTTGAGCACCACCTACCTAGGTCGCGATCGATCGACGAGCAGTGTTAGACGAATATCCACAGGCATATTCATCGTAGGAAGCGTGAAGGCAGTTCCACTGCTTCAGAGCCCCGGTCAGCGTGTCAAACGTCTTGCTTGAAGAGGGAAAATTCCATCACCGGTGTAATGCATTGCATTGCAGGGCTTTTAGAAGGAAGAGTCAGGTGGGTCGACCAGTACTGACTGGTGGTGCTTCCATTCCTCAGCGAGACATAGATCTTGCCACGTGACAAACCACGCCCATCAAACGCGTTTCTGACGCGTGTTTGCTCAGCTTGCTGTGGACCTACATAAAGTCAGCGGATCTGACGCCTCATTGTAAGCTCTTTCTTCCAGTCCTTCTCCCTAACACTAGAAATTCAATCATGGCATCGTTCTTTCGTCGTCCTCCCAACAATTCGTGGTCTGACCACCTACTTTTGAAAGTAAAGCAAATATATTGATAAAATATGACCCTTTCTGACGTCATGATGTGCTCACTTCCAGCTGGCCAATATTGCTGGAGCGCTTTTCGTTATGGGAGCAAATGGCTACACAGTTATTTCTCCTCTGGATGTCTACTATACAGGGAAAGAGACGTACTTTACCCCTGCTCCATGGGCATACTTCCTTTGGTAAGAAACATGTACGCTTCATGTGTCAGGCGCTTACCGCCAACAGGCCTGTCATTCACCTGCTGGTTCTCGGCACATGCACCTACCAGTTCTCCGGACGGGGTAAGGAGCTCATTATCGACATCATCGGATGGAATCTCCCGCTTCTCGATTTTATGAATGCTATGTACATTTATTCCTGGACCAACCAGGAGTACAAATATGGTCGGTCATCTTGATTTCTTAGTTGTGTAGTTTGCTGATGTGCATCATAGCTTTGGTTTTCATGATTTTCACTAGTTCAGTCGTATCGGTAGGTCGTTATTTGCTACTTCATAGTCGAACAATGCAGCTTAATTGCCGGTTCAGAAAATTTACAGGCTCGTGAAGGCGAGCACTATACGCAACATCTGCGACGAACTCTTCCTGCATCTCCCATTCTCCCTTTATCACGGCTGGACGACATGCTTGATCTTCAGCACTGGATTTGCGGCTTTTGGTGTGGATGCCGAAATTGAGCCGGAGGAGTTCTGGACCAAAGTTTTTGTCCTCCTTAGCCTGTAAGTTGTACTTCACTTGATCTGGGTGATATCTGATCCCGTATTCTCAGGTTCATCCTTCAGGCCCTTGCATCCGCTTATGCGTACGTGTCCACAGAGGGCGATCTTCCCGCTTGTCTTGCGGTCTCCTGGTTCATATGGGCTGTCTTTGTAAACCAGACGCCGGAAAAGTCTCCATTTGTGCACTGGTGTGCGCTTGGAGCTGCTATCTTGTCGTTATGCTGGCTCATGCGGAGTGCAATCGGTTTGGAGCTTAAGATCAGGACCAGAAACGCTAACAATGTTAGGTTTGGGTTCGGTGGTCCTAATAATGACCACGAGGGCTCCCGACTTTTGGGGGGGCATTAAGTGGGGGCAATAGCACCGCAAGTGGAATGAGGCGTTGGGCGTTGTGCCCTGTGGCGGGAAGCACGTGTAGTTCTTTCTCTTTCAACCCTATCTTTGTATATCATATGGACTCGAATATATGTTTGTGTTTGTAATAGTAGACAGTCCTCGTTAACATTCCATTGATGTTACATAATTTATTATGTTTCGTGCACTGATGCAAGACGAGCATGGCTAAAACGTACAACAGAAAAATGAAAGCCTTAAGATAGAGATCGAGATAAACCGCTGCCACGAAGTCAACTTCCCAGCACAGTACTTGCATTTATTCAAATTTGATAGGTTCAACCTTCTTAGGAGACGGCAGCCCAACAAAGCCCGGAGGTCTCCTGACCGATGTACTCTGTGAGCTTTGACCTTGTCGCGTTGGTCTCTGTTGTTGACTGGTAGTCAGCTTGGCTAGTGCCAATGGGGGAGCACCGATCAGCCGTGATACAGTCCATGGCAGTTCGAATTTTGCAGCTCCCGCCCAGGCAATATACCGGGAAAGTTCAAGATGCAACGTCGGATAATACGTCACAGACGTCTTGCGCGATATCTATAGAACCAAATATAATGAATGACCATTCCAGTAACAGGCCAGGTCAACCTCACCAAAATGATTCGCTCAAATCCAGAAGCAAATAGGTCAGAGTGGAAGCGGTGCGCAGACATGTCATGTTCCTTGGACAGGTTCAGCTCATGAGCGGACCTGGCAATCGCGTTGATAAGTTTGAGGTGCATCGTCTGCTCGGATAGGAATTGTAAGTCAGCTTCAGCCGTCGTGTACTTCATCCACTTACAAAGTACCCCATAGCTTCAAATTCGACACCTCCGGTCATCCCCCCAGGTGCTTTGGGCTTCTCCACCTTGCCCTCATCTACCTCTTCCAAGTTCCAGACCGTGTTATTCGGGTGACAGAATACCCAGAAGTAATCTCTGCAAAGGTCCGAAAGCTCTTGAAGGTAAGTTTTGTATATCCTTGGGCGATGTAGTGATTCAATAAAAGCATGAGGCGACACAGGTGAAGCAGGTGATTCAGTTGCAGGAGGCGCAGGTGTCAGAAGGAGAGCACGGATCAACGAGTAGAAATTCTTGTGTGGTGCTGGGAGAGTGATGAGATTTGAGGATGAGCGACCCTCAGGTTCCCAAGCTTCGCGACGTAGACGGTTCCCAGTGGATGGGAGCGACGAGGAAGGGTACAACTCGAACAAGATGAGTAACAATTCGACAATGAGCTGTCTCGTTGCCACGTCTCCAGGTTTCTTGTCAGAGTAAAGCAAAGAGACCAGTTGCACGAATGGGGTCGGGCACGAGCTGCGCAAGGCAAAGCAACCAATTGCAGAGGTCGACAAGGCCTTAAAGCATCGAAGTAACTCATATAGTACCTGGTCATCATGCTGCTCTTCTCTGAATAAAAATATGAGAATATGATTTGAAGGTTGGAGGTATTGACTCACCGCCACTCAACTTCGAGTATTTCGTTCAATCGCGTGAGCAGAGCATTGTAGCCACCCAATTTCAGGAAGTCTTCTGACCACCTGGTTAAAGTTCAATCAGCTAACATGGCACAAGAGCTTCAGATCGCTCAGCACTCACATTGCTGACTCATTTCGTAGGAGTAGTCGGAGCTTCTTGACGATTTCTACTCCTAGCTGAGTGCTGGAAGTTGATGTCAAGATACTACAGAATTTGACGGGGGTTATGCTCTTATCGAAACCCTTCTCTTTGGATTTGCTCGTAATGAGGTCGCCTGGGATAACCGGAGAATTCTGACCACGAGATAATGTTCGTGCAGCATCAAAGGATAACCCGCGGTCATGTCCCTGCTTGTTATCGAGTGCGTGCAGATCCGTTGTACTCTTTCCAGAGAGACCAGATATCCAACTGCCTTTCGTAGGCATCTGGTCATAGCTCATAGAAGGCGGAAGAGGCGAGCCCATAGATTCGCTACTGCGGGCTTTTCTCAACGTCAATGGGGTGCTCGGTGGCCCAGACGTCGCGTTTGATGTTATAACATGTGATGATTTGAGCATGGCCGCTTTGACGGTTGAATCCATGCCAGCTAGCTTCACCCGAACAGTGGAAGGAATTTGTAGCTCGTCCTGTGAGTATGTGCTGTTAAATACTGTCGATTGATGTTATCACTGTATAGTCCTACCAGTAATTTGTCAAAGGCTTGGTTCATAACCACCGGCTCGACCACAAGGTCCTGTGAGACCTTGATGGTCTTCAACTTTTCTTGCTTCGAATTACCCTTGTGGGTTCCCTTGCCCGATTTTGTCGGTGCAGGAACCACAAGATCATTGTCAGGTAGGTTCTCCTTTCCGCTAAGTGGATCTCCAAGGCTCGTGATCATGGTAAAGTCCGAGGTAGATATTCTTTTTGATGAGGGTAAAATTGCCTTGAACATGATTGCAGATGCTTATTTGTGTGTCGTAATAGTAGTGAGTCGATGCCGTCGTCAATGTAGAAATCAAAGTAGAGAATGTTGTGGCTGTGACGTGACAAGCACGCGGTTCGTCTTTTTCGACGCGACTGTCACGTGCATTTATTTTCTGCTATTTGGGTTGTGGCCACCGTCACGAAGCTCAAGCGCCGACGCCCATAAAGCATCACGTTGCACGTTTTTTGGGCGGTACTTAGGAACGCAGCTGTTCCATCAGGCCTTCAAGAGCCGCCTTCATCTCCGCCGGCGCTCGAGCCTCACAGCGTTGCTCTCACAAGTGTCATACCATCAATTTCACTGCATGCCTGCCTTATCGTTCTTTACACAGAACAGATGGCAAATATTATTGGTCCATGTGGGAGCGCCCATGTCTCACATAGGAAATTCGAATTTCCGGTCGCTCGGTATATATACGTTTCACTTTGCCTTTGACGAGAACTGACTTTCCCTCTCTGCACAGACACACTTCCCTACTTGCACGCACACATTTCACTCTAGTGGCCCAGCAAATTCTCCTTGTCTTTCTGAGCCACCCTGCTGGTCAACAGGATGTCGTTCTCCCTAGAGACGGGGCGTTTAAATGTGAGTCAAATTAATATTCATCAAATTCAAAGCTCTATATTTTGTTGATCAGAGTACCGTAGGATGTTATTGTAGGACCGATGGGACGTTAAATAACTAGGTGTGTATGGTATCAAGGGTTATTCATCATATAGTGGTGGAGTGAAAAACCGTCATAACTTAAACTAGCAGGAGCAAATAACGCCCTTGGATATGGAGCAGGTCTTGCCATTCGACTTTCCCCCCTTGATTATCCCGTTTTTGCCATGCTGTTTGCATGACTCGCAGAGTCTGACTGGTGTTACCAAAGCCATCGTGTTGACCTTGCAACCGTGATGTCAGAAACTCGCGCTTCATGGGATCGTCCACGAGACACCCAGCCAGACATATGGGGAACACTAGGCAGCGGTCGATATTTGACGCGGGCAGCTGGTTCAATAATTGTACAATGACATCTATCGAATTCACGATTTCGGGCACTCCTGTGACAAAGTGATGAGCATTGCAAAATCACGTGCCGATTTCAACGCACCTGGATTAGGGTCGCTGAGCACTGTATGTAGGTAGAGGATGGCTGCTTCTCGGAAGATATCAGCCACTATCCTCCGAGTGTCACCCGCAGGAAGGGATGTGCCCGCGTGTCCAGGAGGTGAATTTTGTACATTGCCATGCTCAGCAACCATTGATAATAATTCAGGATGTAATGGCGTCTGATCCCCTTCTGCTGATAGCGCTGCCTCTGTTTGGGTACGAAGGTGGTGGTCAATTACGTCCCCTCGCCGGATGAGCTCTCTCATGCTCAAAGAACCTTTACGAAGTTCTTGCGTCTTCCAGCACGATAACGTTGCTATCTCCGCGATACCGAGAAGTACTTCGTCCGGACAACCAGTCAAGCTATCCATACGAAGGGCTGACTCGTCACCGATGCCCTGCTGCGCCAAACCCCAGTAACACGATCCTCTGTGGAACAGTCGCCGGTAGAAGGTTAGATGCTTTGGCGTCGTTTTCAGGGCTAGGGTTGACATGATATCACACCACTGCGTGCTTCGGGTGAGCTTAGTCTACCCGTAGTCCCTGTACAACTCACTATTGTGGCTTTCAGTGCCAGTCGTGATGCCTCGTTCATGTTTATCATCATCAACTTTGGGTTGTCGCTCGTTGTTATCCCCGTCCTCACAAGCCACTCGCTGGCAATATCTAACATCGGACGCCAATCTGTCACTCCACCTGACATGAGCGAGAAGCTCAACATGTGGATGGCTGCGTTTGCGTCGGATTCGCTTAGCGTTGTCTGCTTGTTTCTATAGATCTGTTGATGTGCACTATCATAGAACCGGATTGCCGGTGAGTGCTCCAGGTTGGGGTTTGGCGCCTCGAAACCGTGGGCGATGCGAATCAAACTGAAGTGCAATGATGCTAATGCGGAAATAGCGTTTGCCACAGGGCCTTGTGGGTGTTGTAATACAAGCTAAATAAAAGTTAGCGACCAAGTATCAAATTTTTTTAGAGAAAACCTTACTGAATATGTTATATTTGCTTCAGAATTGCCAGCAAAGGCATACTGCAACTGCCGAACATGCTCGAAGTAATAAAATATGTGCTCCATTTGCAAGCCATCGTCTGGTATGGATGTCATTGGAGGGTCATACAAGTTTTGGGTGGCGGTGTCGAAGTCAGGGATGAAAGTGCATTTCCGCCACGGGCGATGGGTGTGAGGGAAGAGAGCCGGAAGGGCTGAAGGGGGAATTGTGGTTCGAACGCTGAAAGCTCCCATCCCTCGTGTACAGAGGGACAGGAACGGTCTGAGGTGAGTTTAATATTGAACCTGAGGATTCGGTGTTAGTCGCCGCAGGCTCATTTCTCTCATCACAAAAAACCTACCAAACACGGACATCCCGGTTGAGTCGGCCAATTGATCGACATACGCTGGTATTCCCAAATCGTTGACTCGAGAAGACCCTGAAGAACTTGCAGATCCTTGAAGCCGTCGCGAAGCAAAAACAGATGATGATGTAGATGATGGACCCGCTGAAGTGGCTTGGAGTATCGACGATTTGGGCTGACCGCGGATGAGGCCAGCTCGTGTTAGTTGAGCTTTGATGCCAGCCTTGTAATCTTCAACAGCTTTCTTGTCCTATGGGATGATGAGGGGCGGTGGTAAGAAAGACGCTAAACTGTACTCACGCGCATCCATTCTGGGCGTCTTGTTCCCCACCCCAGACAATCTATTCTCAACCGCTTGCAGGTATGACAGGAGTTGCCCTTCTCGTTGTTCATCGCATTTCTATTAGAACATCCGGGGTCAAGACGCATGAACGGCTTTGATCAGTCAAAACGCACCTTTCTTCGCAGGCGGCATGTCCTACGATTGGAATTGGCACGTGTCAGCAAAATGGAACGGTCTGGGAAGATGTAATACGCTACCAGCATCCCCCCCTTCCTATCAAACCTCCGCGAGGCAAATCTACTGGCATTCTGTTCGGGGTTTCTCGTGAATGTGTGCTTTGTGAATCTGTTTCATCCGATGCTTTCGATGGCCTGAGGGGTGCGGGGATGTGGGCAGGAGAAGTGTTGTTGGAAGGGGTCTCAGAGGAGGGCGACGGACTGCCGCTGGCTGACGAACTGCAGTATCTGTATGACATTCACGCCACAATTGGGGGGTTGTGATGATGAGGCAATATAATTTCTCAAGAAGAAGTCTTAAGAGGAGATTACAGCCAGATGGGAAGTCGGGGTCAAGCTACAGAAATTACCGACGGGTGACAAGTCGGAGGTTCACTTTGGGCTTTCTACCGCAAAAGAAAAGACGGCGTGATGTTTATGACCTAAAGAAGCATGTGGAAGTGCATCCCAAACCAATTTGGATTCATTCAATGGGTTGGTCTCCAAGGACAACTTCTCGAACATTAACTCCGCATAGGGCTATGGCATCAATCCGGTGTCGGTTGGTCATCGGTGCACAACATGAAGCGATGAGAGGGTCGCTACACATCCTCCGTACGCCTCATTAGCTCACGTAGGTAAGAAATGCGAAAAACATTTTTGATGGAAATAATATGTGATATCTTGTAACATGCAGGGTGGACACACCTCCAAGCCCATTTGCTTATATAATCTCCGAGCTCTATGGAAAGACGAAATGCACGGGCTACTCCAAAAGTGTATGTATGTACATGTGTTTCACCAACCGCAGCCAGCCGATTCTATCTTTACCGAGTCCCGAAGTACCTGTTGTGCCTTTCCTTCTCGAGGTGTTTTTGTTCAACCATTCGAGTTCTCGATCATGGATAGGCTGATTGGCACAGCAGTGAATTAAGACGAGGAAGCTGATGGTATGTCGGCATACGGCGAATGGTGCTTAGCAATGCACTGTCCCTGCATGAGTAATTTTGTTATACAGCATGTACACCCATGTCAGATTAGAAGGGGACATGGAATTGCGGCCAGATAGGCTTGCTCTCGACATTTAAATGACGTTGTCCCTGTGATCCGATCATGTCGCAGAACTGGAAGCAGATTCTGGGGTACAGCTCGGGTTTACATGCACATACACCATGGGGGTAAATTAAAAACCATCATAGCTTGGCCAGAATACAACAAAAGTTCCGCGAGTAGAACGTTCGAATTCATTCAAAGTCTAAGGACCTGACCCAGGCCTGTCAGGCACGATGCATTTATAAGGCAACTCACGCTGAATCTCCGATGATGATCCTCGCGGTAGTAGATAGTCACCGGGGACGTAGCCGAAGGGTCTTTCCGCACGGTACACCTCCGTCATAGATACTACCATCACGGAAGGTCGCAGTGCCCGTCGTTGCGATAAGTTTGGGAGCACGGTACCTCAGTACTCTTCAGTCACGAAAGGCTGTGATTCACGAGAACGTAGCACCCTCGATCAGCTTGGGGAGTTTCTCGACAATAAACTATCTTTCGAGTCTCGACATCGTTCGTTAATTAGAGTTGTTCCTCCCCCCAATCAGATTTGAGTGGCGGTGCCAAGGCAAGTCTTGCACGACAGGCCTGGTGATCTCTACAGGAAATTGAGTGTGAATTTATCATCTTCCGTGGATTTCGCTCACAAATAGTATGGGTCCAGCTTCACAGAACGTCCCAGTCTGATACGACCTGTTCGTGGTAAGGTGGTAACTTAGTATAAGCCAGGCTGATTCCGAGCCTAGTGACCAAATCGAGAGAGAACAATTTGAAATTGCATGTGCATTTGCCGATCTGAGAAGGGTAATTATAAAGCATATTCGGCTCCCAAAACGAGCAGCAGTGCTGAGATGCACTATCAGAAACATACCGGCGGTGTACTGAATATTGACAGGAGACAGCCTCTTGAGCATTGAGGCCGGTGTGTAGAAAACAATGCATAGCATTTCGGAGGTCGTGCAAGCGCAGATGCAATTTGTTCATCAGGCATAAATAGATTACAGCTTGTAGGATATGAAAATGGAGAGCCTCGGGAAAGTAACTAGCCGTGCTACACAGTGCCATATACTTTTAGCAAATAATGAAGAGAGCCAAGAAGTACAAGTCCATGTAGGATAGCCTTTAGACAAGAAGCATTTGGGCCTGTTGCATAACTACCCGCCAATCTACGGGTTCCCCTCGTTCTCGCCTGCTCCACACTTCTCTCATAAGTTGAGCGACCCGAGTACAGTTCCCCACCGTCTCCGTCTGCTACTCCTGCAGGCGCCGCAGGAAGTATTCGCGGTATTGAGGGACATCCGTCAGGCAACCACATATGCATATGCTGAACACGACGCTGCGCACAGCATGACGTGCTATGCTGATGTCTTCAGCACGCCTGAGACACTTGACTGTTTCTGTGATGTTGTTCATGACCTCTGGACATTGAGGATGATCATCAGAGATGACGGAATGGAGATAGACAAGGGCAGACGCGCGGAATATGGCAGACGTTAGGCGCCGTCGGCGTGATTTTTCCATGTAAAAGCCGCGGAGGCGATCAGTGTTATCAACGGTCTTCAGGATGGCTTCGATACATTGCCCGCGTCTGACGAGTTCAGAAGTGCTGAGTCTACTAGCACGCCTGCATTCATCCTTCCAGCTTGCGAGATCAGCAATTTCAGCGAGGGCAAGAACGATGCAGTTTTCGCATCCCATGACGTCCATCATAGACAGCTGCGGTCTGCCATCATTAACTGCAGTGGTGGGCCCATAGAGCGAACGGAGCACTTCAAGGAACTTGGGACGACGGATCAGCGTCACAGAGGCGAGGACATCGAACCACATGGACGTCTTGAGGATAAACCGTATGCTGCCACTGCAGGATCTCAGTGCCCAGTCTGGCGAAACATGATTCCGCTGGAGGACTTTGATTGAAAATTCGCAAGCACTGTCGAGGAACGCTTGCCACTGCCTTTGTCCTCCAGAGAAGAGGAAATAGGAGACCATGCAAAGGCTTGCAAAAGCGTCTCCTTCCGTCACTGTTACCACTGGTGCCCTTTGGATGCGTGTGTACACATCATGATCTGTTGGTACAGTGTAACCAATTGCACCTTGGGTGCTCTTGTGGTGCAAATCCGCAAGTGAACATACAGCCTCTCGGGCTGAATCACTGGAAAATATGAGTCTCCAGATGATGATATCAATGGACCCGTCGGCATGCAAGAACTGGATACGGAGAACATGTCGTATATAGTGTTGCAATAATGCGTTTTGTTGCATTTGTTGCCTGTTCAGGCTAACCCTGTTGTGATGCATGGTGTTGTAGTTAACGAGTGAGCGCAAGGGATATCCAGTATAATCGTTTTCGACTGAGAAGGATGCATGGTGCATTGCAGAGAAGTCGCTGGTGTGAGGTCGAGGCAGGTTTGATTGTGTCCCTGCCAAAAGGAGGGCTTGAGTACTATGATACATACATACATTCAGTAACGATACGGGGATTTCCATGATGGTTCTAAGCTAGTCGTATAAGTAGTGGAAGGATACGCAGGCAGCATAACCCCAGGATAATTTTCCCGAGCGTCCAATGGTGAATCAATGTCCTGCATCACGGGAAGTCCTGCGACAGAATGAGAAAACAAGCAAGATTATTCCATGATATGAGTCTTACGAGCATCAGTGTCCCCCCGAAGATAATCATTACGTGGCTCGTCGCTGGAGTTCGACAACGTCAGGGTCGGCGAACTCGTGCTCGGGGAAGCACAATCTGCCGAGAGTGATAGAATAAAAGGTTCCTGGTCATTGGGGCGAGGCCCAGCACCAGAATGCCCTTTAATCATTCCTTGTACGGCAAGAAATTTTTTAATTTTTTCTCGTAGGTTGATGATATTGTCGTTTGACTTGAGGGATAGAATAAGTCAATTGATAAGGGAATGATAAAAATAAATGACATACACGCAACCATTCTGGACGCTTTGCGCCAAAACCGAGACATTGTAGACGAAGACGAAGACATGTTTGGCAGCTACCGTCTGCGTTGGCCACCTGGTCGCATTTCTAGGAAGGGGTGAATGAGCGTCTGATACAAAGAGGTGGCGATCGAAGATCGAAGGAATGACGTGCATGCGAGGACCTACCTTCCGGCGGATTCTGCACGTGTAACAGCCCGACTTGGTGCGCACAGCGCCTTTAGCCTTGGGCACTCCGGCCCGTCTAGCCTGGGCAGGAGACTTTGGTGTGGCGGCGGCACACACAGCGCCTTCATCATGGGCCATACCCGGGTGTCGCTCGTCGCTAGGGATCGACAATGTCGAGCTCTGGGGGCTCGTACTCGGGTTTTGCTCGTCGCCGGAGATCGATAAAGTCTGGGTCTGGGGGCTCGTGCTCGTGTGCAAAGCGCTATCCACAAATTGAACTGCTTCCTCAGCAGGAGGACGATCAATGGGTGTCGTAGACCAGCAACAGGTCATGAAATCCCATTGCTGGCCAGTGACATAACAGACATTCGGACGAGGATGTATTTCCCCTCCAATCACTTTCAGCAAAACTGCCGTGTCTTTGGCCGAGTCTCGCCAAGGGATATGTCCCGTTAAAACCTGCAGGACAAATTAGTAAGTTGCATTAGTAGGAGGACCACTACTGACTTGGAGCATGATGCTACCAAAGGAGTACATATCGCTTTGAGTGGTGGCTGCAGAAGCTGATTCTTCTCCAGAGAGAAGTTCAGGAGCTGTCCATCTCACTGCTCCTGGATGACAGCTCATGTTTGCGAGATACGTCTTGCCGATCGACTTTTTCATAGTTCTGGAAAGGCCAAAATCTGCAAGATAGGCCTTTCTATCACTATCGATGAGGACGTTGGTCTTGCAGGAGAACATTAGTGTGTGAGGGATGGAATAAATAATAGATTTTACACCAGTGAGGTCGCCATGAACAACTGGGTTCGGATCCGTATGTCCGTCTTCTGTCAAGCAAAACGTATGAACTAAGGTAAAAAATTATTCATTTTCCTTTGGACATGCACGTTTTCACCCACGATAGTTGAGGCCAGCAGCAATGTCACGAAGCTTGTGCACGAAACAATGAATTCAGTTGTACAATCTAGGAAAATATTTGAAGTGCTCACCAAAAGCAGGCGATCACGTAGCCCAAGGGTCTTGTGATTCTGGTCGAGAAACGACGTCAGAGTGCCGTTGGTCATCCACGGAGCAACCAAAGCTACTGATAGGCCAAAGTCCGAAGTTGTACCCATGAATTTCAAAATATTAGAATGCCGCAACCTCTTCCAAATCCCAAGCTCTCTCCGAAACATCTAAGGAAGCTTGATAAAAATCTGACCGTTTCCTCAGAGAGAACATTACCTCAACACTAAAGAATTGTGGTCGAATCGCTTTGACGGCGACCTGCGGGCGAGCATCGAGTTAGTGAACGTGGAAGAACTGTAACATCCGCACGAACCTCTGCATCGCCCTCTGATCCGTGGTATAGACACTTGTAAATATTTCCATATGTGCCGCCGGAAATCGGGTCTCGGCTTGCATCGGGTGATAAGACTAGTTAGGTCTGGGATAAGGGTTGAAGTGATCAGCTGAGTGGAGGGAGCGATATTGGGAGCAGTGAGTGGGGATGGTTCGAGAGTACCAGTAAATATTCGCTGATCTGCTGACAAAGGACCGCCAACTCCAGTGTCCGTTCCAAAACTTGAATTTTCAGGGACTCTGCGAAGCTTTTGGGTTGATGCTTTGCTTCCAGGTATGACGTATGAATGTCGACGATGTTGCGCTGTCGAACGAGGAGGACGGCGAAGATGCTGTGCACTAAAGTTGGTCGTACTGTAAGAAGAAACTGTGTCCGGAGGGAAAGCACGACTAGAGCCTGGTTGCGTGTCCATGTCCTGCTGCATGGCTGAGATGGCTATTGTAGTTTGCGAGTGGTAGTTGTGTTACTGATGGGAAGGATGGTGCATGAGGCCTGGAGGTCGTTAATTGATACAGGATTACACAATGAGTGCCAGATTGGTACTTCCGGCGTTACGTCGCAACCGAAGGGACATTGAAACTTGTACTGTGTAGTACAGAACGTAGTGGTGCCAGTGACATGCGCACCAAGCGTCCCACTGGACATGATCCGATCATACTCAACTCAGTCCAACAATCGTCGAAATGTAGTGTCTGTTTTGTGAACGCCGATCCGTAGGCACCACATCACTGAAATTCACATAGCATGATATGGCAATACTTGGATGACAAATTTAACCAATTGTGTGCGTCGATGACATGTCAGTATAAGGGAATATATGGAACCTCGCTCGGGAAACGGCGAGGAACACTAAACGAATCAGGCGAAAGTAACAGGACGAAACTGTTGATTCTTTGAGCGTTGTACTAATGGATATGTGATGGTAGGTAGGAGACCCGAGTCTAGTCTGAATAATACGAAAGAAGCGGAATATAAGGGGATGGGTCACATGATGTGTGATAAGGTAAGCGTGTAGTAAGCGGTGAGCTTACACCCTCCCATCCTCCGAAGAACAAGCACCATCGTCTGCATCTTTTTCTGTTGCGTCTTGAGGTGTTGTGTGTTCATCAGTCCTCATGAACGTAGTCCGTTCTTCTGTGTCTTCTTCAGTGTCTTCTTCGGTCATGTTGTTTGAGGGCTTGTAATCCTTCAGTACGTCAGTGTCTTCAAGCTCTCTTCCAGGCACCCATATGTTGACACGCACAAAACCTGTTTCGTACATGGTCATGGCAAATTTATGATACATGCAATTCCTTACTATAGTCCATGCACTTCCCCTGAATTTTCTATACCTTACTTCAATTTACTTTGTACATTTCTGAGCATGTATCACCAAGATACAACTTAGTGGTTCAAATTAAATACTTAATGTACCCTTTACCCTTTCTATAATTCTTTATTTTATTTACCCCTATGCCAAACATATGTATATACACATTCTATGCACACTTTATTTACATCTATGTACTCAAGGCAGTGATGCCAAACCAAGATATACAACAAATAGCTTGGAATGGATTGGTAATCAATGCACAGCAATAAGGCAGTGCTAGAAGGACCTGAACACAGCCTTTGCTGAGTATTCTAGAACATTCTATGAGTATCTTACCAATCATTCTATAACATTCCATACATTCCATGACATTCTATAACATTCTATAGTTCTTTCTCAATAATTCTGACACATTCTGGAATATTCTATAGTACATTAGTAATCAGTAGCACAGCCACTAGTCTAGTAGTATATAAGGGGGCTCATTTTCCCCTCTTGTGAAGCAATCAATTTGATTCCCAAGTATTAACAGAGTGAAGCACAGTTAGGGGAACGTAGGGGGAACATTCTTTCACCCCTTAGATTTTTTGTCCCCATTATTTGAGTGAACATTCAAGTGAATATCAGGAAAATATTAGCTTATTTAGCTCCATTGTTTTGACATTATACTTCACATTCTTCAGAAGTATCTGGCCACATTCTTGAGCCAACTTTGATTCTATTGCACATTCTTAAAGCACATTATACTTCACATTCTTCAGAAGTATTTGGCCACATTCTTGAGCCATCTTTGATTCTATCGACTTCAATCATTCTAGTTCTCTTTTAGACACAGGAAAAGTTCTGTGGGGAGAATTTCACGTATTATTCATCAATTAGGGTAGACACAAATAAGACCTACAATCTGTCAATGAATATTAAGAGCTTGGCCACTTAAGACTACATCAAGAAGGTGTACTCTATTCTGGACTGTGTCATTACTCATTGTGAGATCATGAGCAGCAGAGAGTTGGTTTCGAGGCCATGTATTGGGACGATCCCGCTAGTGAATTTGTTCTCCATTGCTGAAGTATAAGTAAGGAATATCAAGAGGGATATAGTATAGTTCTAGTTCATTGCATACAGCTGCAACACATTATTCTAAAGGTTATAGCACTACCTTGTGCTACTTATTGGTTTCTATCATTATTAGTTTCTATCGTTTCTTTGCCCCTTTTACTCCCTAGCGTTCGCTTGAAAAGTTCAACACACCTCGTCCCCCACGAACAACCACGTTATCAACCGTTGGTAATTGTCTGAACCGTTGACCGTGGAGGGATTGTGAAATTTGGAGAGTTTTCTTGCCTTTCACATCCTAGTAAGACAACGTCGGCTTCTGGACTGTAACTGCGCCAGTGAACAAGGTATTGATGGCCGCGACCGCATGTTCATCTGTCTAAGACCTTCTCTACTTCCCATTCTTCAGTCCCAGTCTTCATCACGATGGGACCAGGTCGCTGTAACTCCCGTGAGGGATAGAGTTCTGCGTTGTTTGGAACGTGACACTTTAGCTCTGAGACGTGAAAGGTGGGATAAATGTTAGTATGGTCGGGCAAGTCTAAAGTATAAGTGGACGACTCAGGGTTCGCAGAAATCACTGTATAGGGTCCGTCGAACCGAGGCATAAATTTGGCGACTTGTTTGTTGTTCCCATTCAGGTATTCTCTTCTTCTGTGGGCGGTAGAGTAGGTAGAGAGGTAGACAAAGTCTCTGATCTTGAAAGACGGATCCGTTCCTCTATAAACATTTGCTGAGTTTGCTTGTGCAATCTGTGATGCCAGCAGGGCATCATGTGCGTCTGCAATGTCAGTCTTGGAGCCCCTTCAGTGACTTGACCCTATAGACTCGGCCAGCCCAAGTTGACATTTCTCCATAGGTGTCAGGCCAGCCCACCATGGGCCCACATTAGATTGTAATCCAATGTTCATGGGTGGGCCTGCGGATGCATTGTCCCTGGCTGTTAGGGCTGGGCCCACAGTAGAATGGGCTCGATGCTCCGGAGTGGGCCCATGGGTATCAGAATTAATGTATGTGTATTGAAGGGTGGGCCTACAATATTGAGTCCTGGCCACCTTCGGGTGGGCCCATGGTCCATAAGTATCGGTGGCAGTAGGCTGGGAAATGGGATCGGCGATATAAATGGGAATTTGGAATGTGGCTCACTAGCTTCGGCGAGGGGATCCTGGAAAACAGCATCGGTGCATGGATATCAGGTATGATGTCCGGCAATGGTCCATTAGCATTGGTGATTGTATTCTGGGAAATTGGACGTGCATATGAATATCGGGAATGATTGCTGGCGATGGTCTACAACGGTCTATTTGCATTGGCTGGGTCAATAAGTATTGGCGCCAGTACACCAGGAAATGGGGTTGGCAATAAATGGGCATTTGGAATGCAGCCCAGGGTGTTACGAACTAGGATAATTCCGACAATAGCTACTCGATAAGAGTATGTGGCCAAGGTCGAGTCAAGACTCTTGCGTATACAAGAGTTCGTAAGACAAGGCAAGGAGAGTGTCCTTGACTTGAATCAGTTTCAGACGACTTAAGATTGGAAGTCTTAAGCGAAGGAAGTTCCAGGTAAAACCTAGTAAGATTAGAGTAAAGAACTACATAGTACAAAGCGAGTTTATATAGTGAATGATAACTGCTTTAGGGCCGGTATGATGAAGTCAGAACGAGTCAGAGATAAGAACGAGAATAGATCACCTAGTGATGGCATGCATGCGATCGTGATGTAATACAGCTGCTGATAAGAGATGAGTCTAGCGACGGATATGATGGTGATCGTGATGTATACAAGGTAAGAAGAGAACATGAATAGGGGTGTACGTAGACTGTAACATTACCCCGTTTTTATCGTGAAGTCACTGATTTCAACAATCAAGTTATAGTAGGTGTCATAGTTGTCGTTGTCTCCCGCACATTGGGAGAAGAGCTTCTCGTCTTCTTCAATGGATATCGCTCAGTTTCAGCGTCTTTATCAGCTTCCCACCTAGAAAGGGCCTCGTAAAATCCTTTGTCTGTCCAGACTAAAGGTATCACGGTTCTCCTTGAGATCTTTACAAAAGACCGATAGATGTCCTGGCGCTAAGTTGCGACATACTCGACAATAGTATGTAGGACAGTTTTTGTGATGATGGCCCATAAGACCACAGTTACGACAAAGGAAGTTATCGCCGGGTTCAGTTTTCACAATGGTGATGGAGGAGGACTGTGGTGGTGGTGATGATGGGGTTTTGGAGCACATGGCGTGGTTTCGGGTGGTAGGGGATACAGAATGTTCTCGTTTGACCTTGAAGGTCGGCGGGTTAGGGTATCTATGGATTGTGGTGGTCGTTGGGGTAAGTGCAATAGGAGTGATATGACAGGTACAGCAGGAGGAACGAGAACGCTAGTCATATGCTCAACGGGGGAGTTGATTATCTCGGCCAGAGGTGGAATGGTAATTGCGATATGGGGAGATGGGGGCCTAGCGACTGGGTGGAGTGCAATTCGCTTGGTGACGATGTGGATAGCCTCTCGAATAATCTCTTTAGTCGTAGCAGGCATGAGACGCACTGCAAGTATTGCGAATACGTATGTGAAGGTGGCGGAAGATGGTCTGATGATGGGGGTCATTGATGAGTCCGGCAGTACGGCCGACGAGATTGGCGGCGCGAATAATGTTAATGAGGAGTGCGCTGGATAGAGCTCCTCGTTCGGCGAGAAGACGATCTATATCAAGGGGCGTATTGCTCAGAGGTGAGAGCGGATTCAATAAGGTGTTGGTTTCGATATCGTCAAGGGATATCAAAATAGTTGGAGTTAACCGATTCATCGGCTAGTGTGGGTAGCGGAGAATGTTGGGGAAGGTACTGGAGATGAAAGATTCTGAGTGGTAGTGGTCATAGCAGCAGAGATTTCTTGGACACGTAAAAGGAGGAGTTGAAGTCTTTCGATTGAAGAAGGCACTGATTTCGATGGGTTCTTATAATCGAGGGTTTTCTTATAAGTGGCGAGGATAATTGAGCGTTGCCTAGGTTCTCTTCTGGAATCCATTCATTGCTGGCAGAGGCATACCCTTTCCAAGATACGAGATAGCGTCTTCGTTTACCTGTGCCTTTGTGCGATAGGATCACTTCTACTTCGTATT